AAGAACTTGGCGTAGTTTTAAAATCTACAAGGATATAAAACACTAATAATGGAAAAAAACGATTCTCAGGTAAGCTTAACTACATGTACACTAGATATATCCAGTAGACCCACGAAGCTTCAGAAAAAATTAAAAGATAATATGTCAATAAACAGTTTTAATAAGCTTATGGGGCTTACTGTAAGCAATAGATTCCAAAGTTCAATTCACCCTTGGGGCGCTAGGGAACCCTGTGTAATATCACGTGACCAAAACGTAAACAAACCGCGAAAGTTCGGACATTCGCGCCATAGAGTTGGAGTATAGTAGGTGTTTTGCGAGGTTTTTATAGGATGGTTACTACAAAACGGTGTGCTTATGGCACCTGTAAAAATGACTCGAGATATCCTGAGCGCTGGGAGAGGAACAGTAGGGGAGATTCTGTAGAATTTTATCACTTTCCCGGTGAAAAAAGGCAGAAAGAGAGAAGGCAACGATGGATAGTAGCGTGTCATCGAGGCGATAGTTTTGTTTGCACCAAGGACAGCTATGTTTGTAGCCTTCATTTTGTCGGTGAACAGGGACCAACAAAGGAATATCCGAATCCTGTATCTGCAATTTCTAGTAGAGAAAAAGTAAGATTAAATAACTTCATTCATTGATATAGTTACTGAATGACAACCATAGTGAACTAAAGGTATAACACTTACAACTGTCCGTAGATAAAAAGGTTGAATCGTAAAAGAAAGTCATCTCATGAAAGAGAAAATCAAAAGGAACAAAGTAAGAAAATCTGTGACGAGAAGCGAGCAGCCAGGACTTTGTTGATGCTTGGCAAAGCGGATACGGCAAGAGGAAAATCTACAAAAGAGCTCGAGGCTGCAGAAACGCTACAAGCACTTTTTGACGATGTTAAAGAAAATATTATAGATCGTCACATTGAGAAGGAGTTGGCAGATGTCCCGGCAGATGTAGACGAGATTTCTACACAAAATGAAAAGAGTACAAATACAGATACCGAAACAAATGAATGCAGTACGCAGGTTAGTTAATTTTAAAATTGACGAGGCTAAAGTATAAGTACGAGGTCTATGACATGTACAAATTAAAATGCTTTATTTCGAAATTTTAAAATACAAATATCTATTGCAGGCCTATTCAAGTGATGTACTTATGAGGCAAATGTTTATGGAAAAGGTTCTAGACCCTGAAAATATTAATCATTACACAGGTAATACTATAATGCTATAGACACATTTTTAGCAGTATTTTTACTTTGTAAACCATGGGAACCATGTAAGCTTACTGTTGGATTAATATGATCATTTCGATGTTACTGAGTTTACACTGGGCTTTTACTGTAGGCATGACAAAAGAGTGCTTTGACTTGATTTTTGAACACGTTGAAGAAAAAAGTCAACGAATAAACATGTGGAAAGGAGCAAAAAAGACAAAGACAGGAAAAATGGACAAAAAATATTTACAAGTAAGGACTTAAGCTTAAGTTAATGTCAAGGATTGCAGAACTACTATATAATATAAATAGTAATATGTACAGTGACTTTTATGTGGTAAAAACCATCTAGTGCACTGACCACAATTAGTATTTCTACAAAACTACAAAGGAATAAACATATTTTATTAGTATTTGTACAATCTAACTTCATTTATTACCTTCTTTCAGAGACGCAAGGAACTTTCTAAGCTGATGTCCAAGGAGCAATTTGTGTTAACCCTTGTGAGACTGCGACGCAGCCCAAGTATTATTATGTTGGCTGATATCTTTGGAGTGTGTCCAAGATCTGTCAGCCAAATATTTATCACTTGGACTAAGTTTTTGTCAAAGGAATTAAGGTTTCTTTTGCCCTTCCCTACCACTGCTGTTCTAAATGAGGTTACCCAACCAAAAGCATTTAAAAAGTTTGAAAACCTGAGAGCCATAATAGACTGTACAGAGTTTTACATAGAAAAACCTTCAAAGCCCTCCTGCCAGAGATCAACCTACAGTCAATACAAGTCTGCTAACACATTCAAATTACTCATTTCAATGTCACCTACTTGTCATATCAACTTTATTTCAAAGTTGTATAGTGGTAGTATAAGTGACAAACAAATTGTTAGTAAAAGTGGTTTCTTACAGAAATTACAGTCTGGTGATAAAGTTATGGCTGATAAGGGCTTCAACATCCAGGATATCCTTGCTCTGCATGAAACAGTTTTGATTGCACCTCCAATTATGAGGAAAGGTTGTGTGTCTGCCAAAGCTACAACAGCAACAAGGCGTGTTGCCACTTCCCGTGTCCATATTGAGCGAATGATTAGACTTTTGAAATTGTTTACAATACTTAAAGGATCAATACCTCTTACTTTAAAACCCTACATAGATGATATTGTAACAGTTTGTGCTTGTTTAGTGAACTTACAACCAAGTGTTATTAAAAGTGATGAAACATAACAAGACTACAAATACTGTAAATATGTAAATTAACATATAAGCTACACAATTTTGATCTTCATGTAAATTTACATAGTTATAAAAGAATATTGGTATTGGTTTTATCTCAGTTCAACTGAGATTTCAAGTGCACCCTCAGATCGTGTCTGATGCATTCTGCTTCCTGTGGACCAAACCAGTTATGTGCCACTTGTACGTAACCATGTGGGTTTTTCTTGTATATATTCAGGTCCTAAAATGGAATTCAAGGAAATTATAAACTGTACATTACTTATTATGAAAAGGTATAAATACATCTATGTAGTCCTAACCAACTATATATGGCTTTCAAAATATGAAATATACCTCAAGGAAATATTTTAAGAACTGGGTCATATACACCCCACAGTTGTTGCTATCTGGTGGTTGTTGTGGTACCTAAGTATCATACAAATTATTAAATACTATTAACAATTGCAATTGGATAATATAATGCAAATGAATGTGTGCTAAAGAGTTTGATCAGCAATAAGCTATTCAAATCAGATGTTGAATTGGAGTTATTAAACAGTAGCTAGTATAAATTGTATAGATATGCAAACTTCATATATATTAAGATAAAAACAATAATTTGTACCTTCAGCACATGCCTTGACAATGTGCTTGTGTTTGAGTCCAGGTGATTTGCTTTACAAGCATAGTCTAATAAGCTTTAATAGTAAGAAGTAACCTTGTTATTTACCTATGTAAAATGTCAAGTTAATAAAGTATAGATTGATTTGATAACTTACGCTGTCAAGTATTGCATTTCGGTTTCTCTTGTGGTTAGGTCACATGTTAGAGAGTCCATAATGAGAATATGCCTAGATGTAAAATATAGTAGTGTTAGTATTAAATGACGTTCTGAACGAGTAAAGCATTATAAAGCCCAGCTAGTGTTATGCAGTCCAACGTTTTATACACATCTACCTACCATGGAGTTTTGATTGCCAACAGCCAGTGTAACCTAAAAATGAATAACTGATTAGTTACACAATTAATTGTTAAGCAACATAATGTACTTTTTATAATGTAATTTGTTTGGCAAACCTTCTATTGATTGGAATGACTAAATAATCTTCACTAAGATTCTTTGGCTTGACAAATACAGCTGCTGCTTTCATTCTGTCTTCCCTAAAAGTAATCATACAATTTAATTGTTATATTTCCATAGGATCATGTAGTCCTTCTAATATCTAACATTATCTATTATTAGTGGTTTTATGTCAAATTGTAAAGTACCTGGAAATCTGTTTTCCTATAGTTTGTTCACCACATAAGGTACTGTAACAGAATGTGATAGGAAACGGGCATTGTATTTTCCTAAAAAGAACAATCATTTGTTAATACGCAGATTTCAGACTTGTCATTGAAATAAATAAGTAATATTATTTCTTACTTGAACAAAAGAGATACAATTGTGTCATTGAGCATGGTCTTTGGCTTGAGAGTTTCAATATCTGCACAATAGATATCTATCCCATCAACTTGTATTGATCTGTCTTGAATAGCAGCAGTTGTACATGTAACAGTTTCAGTAAGATGTATACAATCCTTGTTATCCACTGAGAAATGAATTAAGAAGTATGGGCAAACAGATTTACAGATTGATCACAATACAATGTAATATTTATATTATATCACCATACCTTCTTCATGATCAGCTGGTGTGCACACTAATCCAGTTATTTCTGACATTAAAGCTGGAAGTATCTGTTCAGTCCAAAACACCTCAAGTGTGTTGCATACGTCTGCCAGAAAACTTGGATTTGAGGGTACTGGTATGGAAAAAATTCCTTGTTTTGTCCACACAACAAATATGCACTTTTTAAGACCAGTAACAAACATTTGGAGTTGCACCTGATAATAGTAACGAGATGTAGCTTTCAATGAAAATTCATTCCCATTTCTTTCACCTCCAATTTCAGTAGTAAGAAAAGCTTGTTTGGGATGTAGATCTCTGTGTTTGTATGGACACTTGTACTCAATAACCACATTTTCACACTTGAGTTTGCACTCACAAGTTTGAATATTGTCAAGGCTAGCACCCAAAAAGGGTTTCCTTTTTGATATCAAAAAACCTTTTGAGACAAGGTTTAGTTTGTGGTGGGTGTGGGCTGCAGTGCGTTTGTATGCATCACGAGCACTATTCTCATGTACCAAACCCCACTCTCTAGCATTAGTTGGTTCAGTAAGATCATAGGAAATGTTTGAAGGAATGTTACAATCCACAATTGATTTAACCAATTTGCTAGCATCATCTGCTTTATTTTTTTCAAGTGTTGATTGACGTGTGAATACTTGCTTACATTTTGAAGCTGAGATGAAACCTGTCTTGTTGATATACCACTCTTTACATTGCCATTGCTTCAAAGTAGCTTCGTTCACAAACTCTATTTCATCCTCGGTAAAATACAGCATTTTACTTATATCAGTAGGGGTTACATCTGGATGGTTTTGCAATATAGACTTTATCTTCTCTTTCAGAATTCCAACATTTTGCTGGACTGGATAGTCAGTCTCTTCACTTGGAGGACTACCATCCTTCTGATCAAAGTTAATGCTATTATCATCATCTGTACTGTACAGCTTTTGGAACAGAGGCAAAATTGCAGGTTTGTCTGTTTTAAAATTGGACATCTTTTCTGTGAAAGCTCTCAGTTTCTCTTCATCTGGTGGTTCTTGATCTTCGTCAGGCCGAACGTCTACATCAATACTTTGACAAAATTTACGGTCAATTTTTCTTTTCTTGTTTGATGGTTTCTTTATTCTCTCGATGTGTAAATCTTTCACTTCACATGGTTCTGAATTTGAACGTGGTTTTTTAGTCCAAAGACAAGGACCACTTGTCACACTGTCTTTGTCCGGACTGTGAAGAAAGTCCTCCAACGCATACATGGCTGCTGCAATATGCTTACAGCCCCCATCCTGACCACCTTTGCATTTACATTTTGCATATAAAACACTGCCCTTGTTGGCTCCTCTTCCCTCGAGAATAAAGCAAAGTTTGTAAAAATCTTTGCCTTCGTCGGTTTGATTTTTCATAGAAGGTTTAACCTCTGCCACATAAACATGAATGCCTTCGTTGGGTAATGTGCTCGTCTTTAAAGATTCGACATAACCATCGACGAACAGACGATAATCGTCGAAAGACTTGTACGCCGCCAGCCCCTGTTTATCGTACTCAGTTGAATGGTAAATGAAGTGATTAAAAATGTCGTACAGACCAAAAGGAGGCGAATTAATAAAGTTATTCTCGACTTTGATCGTAAAAGGGTCCGGAATATGCATATCATTTAATATAATACCACTAGTTGATGTAAGCTCAACTTTTTCAAAGTTTGGGTCAATCGGCAAGTTCATTTTCTCAACAGACGAGGCAATCTCTACTAGAGACGTTTTCAGATAACCGCTTACAGAAACACCTCTGTCTTGTAGGTATTTTTTCAGTTGCGAGACAGTCATATTTCTTTCATGGTTATAAACTTTACAGTACGATAAGCTATGAACTCTATTGGCGCGAATGTCCGAACTTTCGCGGTTTGTTTACGTTTTGGTCACGTGATATTACACAGGGTTCCCTAGCGCCCCAAGGGTGAATTGATTTCAAGTCGAGATGTGGAATATTTTATATTGCGTCACAACTAAAACAAGCTAAAAACGGCTAAAAAAACTTTCTTATCTTACAAAAACCTAACACGGATGGAGATAGCAGTAATAAGTATAAAGATAAAGGCAGACGTTTCCCCTCAGTGTATTCGACGAAGCTTAACTACACTGGATTTCCAGTAGACCCACGAAGCTTCCGAARAAAATTCAAAGATAATATGTCAATAAACAGTTTTAATAAGCTTATGGAGCTTACTGTAAGCAATAGATTCCAAAGTTCAATNCGACGAAATGGCGCAAAACCAAACCAGTAAGACTCAAATATGCAAATGTTCCAAACACGAGGAACTATCGACTGATTGTTCTTGTTCCCTGTTGGATATTGCTTGTCTCCGAGAGCCTTCCGGCCCGTTTGTGGTAATCGGAAGTGCGTTTGCAATTTCAAGCTCGAGGCCCTTCGGGCCAGAGCAATACTCCAGTTTCGAATTCAAAGCGAATAACCGCTGTTTTATTTGACAGCAGATTCTCTTACGCAAAGAACTTACCAAACACAAAAGAAAGCACGAGAAAATGTTGCTTGTACAATAGCGCTAACAATTTAAATTTTCCCCGGGTTGAGGCTAACCCTGTATTCCCAGAAGGCTCATACCTTAGGTCTCATGGGAATACAGGGTTAGTCTCAACTCGGGGAAAATGCAAATTTTGAAGTCTATTGTAATAAAGACATTTTCTCGTGCTCTCTTTTGTGTTTGGTCAGGTCTTTGCGCAAGAGAATCTGTTGTCAAATAAAGCAGCGGTTTTGCGCTATGAATTCGAAACTGGAGAATTATTGTATTTTTCTTTTCTGTAACTCATTTATTTGAGTAAACATTATTATTTTTTCAATAATGAGCCTAATTGCAAACATAAGTGTAGCCGTTTTTTAATAAAAATAAATACCAGTTACAGCTGCTGTCATTTCTCTTTAATAATCATTATGAAACGATTATTAACAATTTTTTTTKAATATTCCTATTCTTTCAAACAGTTTCGTTACTTGCTCGTTSTTGAACCAGAGACAATCGGTCCCTTTTTCTATTGACTATATAACAGTCTTTGCTATCAATTTAAAAAAGGGACCAAAGCACGAATTACGTTGATTTGGGATACGTTTGCTCTTAAGTATTGCATTGCTTTTCTCAAAGTAATATATGCATTTCAAAATAGTATGAAACAAGTGATATATAGATACCAGTAGTYAGAAATATAGAAAAGGATAAAAATCGTTACAGTACTTTAGTTATTTAAAACTCCTTAAGCAGGTGACCTATTGTCTCAGGAGAAAGGCAATCATTAACCTTTTCTCTGTCCAGATTATAATTTATACGATCGTTGCACCTTGACATAAAGCTATGCTCTTGTTATAAATATAACACGCCATTTTCTTGTCAGTTGTTTAATACTTGCTTTCATTTAAACATGCACCACATCACAGAAATAGTATTCATGCATCTTTCTTTGATCGTGTAATCTTCAGTGAAGATTCTGCTAACACAGCATGAGCTTCTTCAATAACTTCTTCTTGAAATATTCTTGCTTTCACTATAGAAAAACTTTCGGTATTGTTCATTACTTGTACAACAGAACTATAATTGAAAGCTTTTAAGTTGAAAATCTCTTTTGATACCCCATCTCGGGAACTCTTACCAATGAGATAGCTGTCATGCATTTCTTCGCACAACGTTCGAGAGCTGTCGTTATTTGGTATTTCCATAAAATCTTGATAGGTTGCTAATACTTGAGGTACTGTTTCTTCTCGTAATCTTGATGTCAAAGATTTTTCTTTGGGTTTYATCCCTAMAGTTAAGCTAAACAGAAACTCTTCAAGTTCATYTATAATACCATACAGCATTAATTCCTGGGCTTGACTGAAATATTTCTCAAAATCCTCTTTCAAACATGGACGTGATGAGTAATTCCACATAGATTCTTTTGTTTCTTGGTTTTTAACTAAAGAAATATTGCTTTCAATACACAAAGCATGAAAGCTGCGTAGCAAACACAATATTTCTGCTGAAATGCTTTCTTGATGGGTTTTAGGAGATTGCTTTAAGATACGGTTTAGCCCGTCCATCTTACAATCTCCGGATTTGATTAATCAGCGATGTTGTAACAAATTCTCAATATTACTTGCAAGTCAGAGCGGAGAGTGACTATAAATAGCAATAAATAGCCGCTTGCGCAAAACAATAGAGAACAAAAGGACTATTGTTCTGAGATTAAGTGTACAAAAGAATGGACTTAAATTAGAATAAATTACCAACAGGGCACCTCATTAGTATTCTACCAACGTCTCATTAGTATTCTACCAYCCATTTTCCAACATTTCCAACCAATTTCCAACCAAAATCCGGGCCAAACTATGCAGCTAATACTACTGACAAGGCAATTGTACAAGRGTCAGGTATACTACAGCACTTTGTTGCTGGAGACTTAATTCTTGCTGACAAACGATTTTTGATTAATGACATTGTACCAGGAGGGGTTGATGTCAACATTCCACCATTTCTTAACAATGGAAAATTTACAGAAAGTGAAGTGAAACTAACCAATAGCATTGSAAAATGTCGCATACACGTTGAGCGTGCAAATGCACGGYTAAAAGACTATAAGATTTTAAGTTTCATTCCTCCTTAAGGCATTATTCTGAAAAGATCTTTCAGCTATGTGCTGCATTAGTTAACCTTCAGAATCCTCTCATCAAAGAAATAAATGGGACAATTAACTTTGATTAACTGAACACATTATAAAGTTTAATGTATACAGAAAATACATGTAAATGTGAATGTTAACAATAACACCAAAATATATCTATTTTCATAAAAATGCTGTAAAACATGTTCAACACAAATCTTTGATAATATTACATTCATGTTCACATATTGCCACACTTATTTAATACAATATCATGAATCTAAAAAAACATAGATGTACACATGAACTCATTTGTTTGGATAGAAGTGATCTAGAAGCTAAAGTATAAGTTTTGTGTATAGTCTTTACATCATTAAAGTCCACCATCAACAAGTGCAGGGATCATGTTAAAAGTCTTGTGGATGTAAAATGTTTTCTTTCCAAATTGGGTCTTTCTGGATTGGGAGTATTGGACTTTCTTTGGTAGTGCAAACCACAAAATAACAAATGCTTCTGCCTGTTATGTACATTTGTCCCTGAACCTGGTGCCAGTAGTGAGAGGATTTTTTAAGGGCATATCCCTGGTCTTTCTTTTCCAGACAAAAATTTTGACATTCAACAGCTTCTGCTATGGTAGCATTTCTCTGTGTAAATGCGCATTTGACCTCTAMTACAGCATCAGCTCCCACCAGTCCATCAGTACCCCTGATGTGTGTAGCCAAAGACCTGTATGTTGTACCGGAAGTTTGGTGTAGATAGTGAAGGCTTTGATCCCCTCTTTTTCATTAACGATCGCCCAACGTACGGCCTGAACTCGAGAAACGTCATACTCTCCGAGAACTCTCTTTACAAGCGATGGAGTCACCCATTTTGATTCAAGAACTGGGCCAAAATTGCTGGCTATCAAACGACTTTTACGTAGCATGTGCCACGCATCACTTTCTCTTTGGTTCTCTGTGATCGCAACTACTTCTCTGACTTTTGTATTAAGTCCACTTTCTACAAATTCATCAGACAGAATAATGTCTTCTACGGTTGGTATAGGCAGGTTGTTTTCTTTATCAGGTTCAGGACTCAATAGCCAAGTCATACCCGTGAACTCGCCATATCGTTTAAGGCGGTCAAATAGCCAGAGTTTATCATCATAGTTAGCAGATCTTCTTAGTGGATTGTACTGCTTTGGCGGATACATCTCTTCAACCGACTTTGTCGACTCCACAACCTTTTGTTTTTTCCATGTGCATTCAATGTCTGTTCGACTTATGTTGTTGTATCCGTGCAGAAATTGCGCGACCGCGACCGCGCACTTGTAGCTACCTCTGGGGCATTCACATTCCGTTGAACGAATTTGAACACCATTAAAATATATCTAAAGCAAAGAAAACAGATAAGGATAACATCATTGATATCGATACGAAAAATCAGTCATAATTAGCTTTCACGTCTTCGATCATTCTTACCGTAACTTTGTAGCTCTTATTTTTCATGCTTGCTTGGACTGATCTCCTTAACGTTCAGTCAGAATACGAATATGATAATACATGACCAGAATTTAAATGATTTTCGCCCGTACTAATTGACTTGGGCTATTCGGAAAAGAAAGTTGTCATTGAACATATCGAAAACGCCGCCATGTTTGATTCAGCTGAAGATTGTTTAGATCCAATGAAAATGCAACCATGGAAACGTGACGTCATGGCTTCGGTACTCTATAAGAGGATAGATCTCATTATCAAGCATAAAGGACAAATAATTAAGTACTAWTGACATAAACCTATCAATTTCCGACAATTTTCTGTAACTGTATGGTATTAAAAAAGGTGGCGAAATGTTTACATGCTTGCTTTCGAACACTGATGACGTCATTTCAGTTTGTATTTGACAAGTAAAGTCGAATTTTTTCCAGTGAACAGACATCATTCACTTCCATATCGTCTATGACACCATTCTTGATAAAGAGACAATTCTCTTTGTGGTACAGAATATTGGTATGTCTTTCACAAGTTGTAGATCTTGGCTGAAATGAGTCTTGGGTGCGGGTAGATGTACAACTTCACTCTCTAACATCAAAAGCAAATCGTGCCAGGGAATCATTTGACTACACCATCGAAAATCATTAAAAAATATGCATTCTTTGCTCTCGACTCCGATCCAGGGAAAATTCCAAGTAACGGGATTACAGA